ACAGCTACACTTGCAGCAATAGCTGCAGCTGCATCAGCACGCAAAGCTTCAAAGATGGTTAAGGAGAAAGAGAAGGAGAGGTTGTTCCTTTGGATCTGCAAGTTTGCTGGCAGAAAGAGAGTTGGAATGCTCTTCCTCTGTCTCATCTCTGCTGCAGTTTTCATCTGGGTTTTGTTTATGGCCAAAGGTCCCTTAATTTCTCCCTTTCTCATCATTTTAGTGTGTGTTTGGATTAGTTGGGAAAAATATGTTGTTTCAGTAATGGATCATATCTACAATCTGTTGTTGTTATGATCAATTATTATTGCAAGTGATTATAGATATAATTGATTGTAATAGAATCTGTTTTATGTTTGTGTAAAAGTGATTTAAAATTATTTGTTTCCTTCTGTAAAAGAAATCACTTTTATATAGTTTGTCTCAAAAAACTTATGAAGATATTTATTTTGCTTAATACTATATGTTTCTTAGTTAGTTCTGCATGGTGAAATGAGAAAAAATATGATTCTTTAAAAATACACAAATTGAAACTTCCAGATTCTTTGAAAACTGTTTTGTTCTCATTTAGTCATGTTTCCGTATTTTAATTAGCTTTGCATAACATGTCACATTAATCTGGAAACAACTTTTTTAAACAAAAAATAAATAAAGATTCTGTGTAGGAAAAATAGTTCCAAACCGATCTCTTATTTTTATTTTTTTGGTATTGAATATATGATTGCAATGTGATCACTGCTAGTTTAAAGTATATAATTTTTTGTTCTTACTATACTAGTCTGTCTAGCAGAGGCAATCCTCATAATACAATTTGAGTTTTCAGATTTGTTTCTTATTTTTCTAGTAGGATCTAAATTGGAAGATGTCGATGCCGTTGCTATCTAGTTATTCTTTTTGCTCAACCTGGTTCGCTAGCATGTGCTTTGAGCTGTGATTCACACCTATCACTTGATTTTATTATTTAATTAGGATCTAACATAATGGTTGTGATTTGGCTTGCTTCCAGGTGAAGATTCTCAGGAAGGAAATGGTGTGCAGAGCATTAGCGTTGATGACCGTGTTTCTATACCCGATTCTCTATCTTTGATCTCTACGGCAGCTAATGCCATAGGTTTGAGTACAAATTTGGCATTACCTTCTTTTCCTCCACCTCCCCGTAGCTATTTTTTGGGCTACCATCTTCCTCCAGGGCATCCGTGTAATAGCTTCACACTCCCTCCCCCACCAGCTGATAAAAAGCGTACTGGGCCACGGCGTAAGTTTTTGTTGACTATATTGAGGTTCTGCCTAAGATATCTTATAGGCTGTTTGATTTTACGAATTTGCAATAGCATCTGTATTAGTTCTTCAAGTTTTACACATAGGATCTGATATATATTTTAGACTATTTATTGTATATGGTTTTTCTCCTGAATTTCTGTCTTGTTTGTGTTTCAGCATGCCCAGTATGTTATCTCCCCGTGGAAGAAGCTATTGAACGGATGCCAAAGTTCCCATCACCTTCACCAGTTCTTAATAATTTAACATTTATCCATGAAGAAAATTTAAGTAGAGATGGAGAATTTGGTGGTTCAGAATTTGGTGGATTTCCAACTTTGAAGCAAAGAAATGACTCTTATAATATACAAGAGTCAATGAGTGTTCACTGTGGGTATGTTTTGCTTTTCGTTGCATGTTTCCCTTGTGTATTTCTATAGTCACTGAGAAATGTTCTTTATGGTATAATTTGTCTTTGCCACTAATAAAGCATATCTCTCAAATACCATTTTACTTATATCAATCCATTCTGCATCTTCAATGATGCACGTGTGCATAAATCAGATTTGTAAGAGGAATTCAACCTGGCCGCAACACAGGATTTGACATAGACGAAAATGACCTTCTTGAAATGGAGCAGTGTAATGGAGTGGTTGTTGCATCAGCCATATTTGGTCTGTATTATGTGATTTCTGCATTTGTTTAGTTGTTAAACTAGTAATTGATTATAAATTAAATACCTCATGCAGGAAATTTTGATGAGATAAATGAGCCAAAACACATAAGTGATCATTCGAAGAGGACTGTATGCTTCATTATGTTTGTAGATGAAGTAACAGAAAAATATCTGAGTTCTGGGAAGCTGGGAATCAGCAAGAAGATTGGTTTATGGAGAGTTATTATTGTTCGTAATCTTCCTTACAAAGATGCACGACGGACAGGGAAGGTCAGAATTATATAGTTTTCAAGCACCATGGCTGCGAAATAGAAATTAGCATATGGGTTGTTAGCCATTTTTTGTTCCTGAAGTTTTTTTGTTGTTTAAAGTTACACTCTTCTTTATGATCTGATCATTGATGTGGAAAATTAATATTACTGCTTGTTGTTTCATGACCTTTTTATAATCTACGTTGAACTCTTGAGGAGTTACTAACTATCATACTGACGAATCCCCAGTACACACAAAGGGGAGGGGGAATGTTTAGATTAGTAGACTTTCTAGTATTGGCTAGAACCTCATCTCAGCATTAGGATGATTTTTTTCATCCAAAATATAATTTAGCTTTTACTGTATGAACTAGGAAAACAATATTGCCTAGGCACCGGTATGTGTTCTAGTTAAAAAACTAGTGCTTTTATATCCTGTAACTTTTACTACCTTTTTAACAGATTCCAAAGCTTCTATTGCATAGGTTGGTTCCCAATGCTCGCTATTCTATATGGATTGATGGAAAGCTTGAGCTTGTTGAGGATCCATATAGAATTCTTGAAAGGTAAATCTCACTATCTCTCTTCAATACTATATACTATTCATTCTATTTGTGAAAGTGGCGTAAGCATTCTTATTCCTGCCTTACCATTTTTCTGAAACATAGTTTGGCATGCGGCTCGCTGTTCTGTCTACTTCTGTAGATTAGTACAGTTGGTCTATATTTTGTATGCTATCCAAAGTATAACAATTTGTTCCTGTGTTAACAAAATCCTGATATATGTATTCTTTCCTATGGAAATCAATCTTGAGATTTTACTGGATTTTTTCTATGATGATCTAGGGTATGTCCTATAATGTAATATGTTAGGTATCATATTTCATGCATGCCCTAATATTGCACGAGCTTTTTTCCATTTGTCTTGCTATAATTCATATATTGGCTCATAAACTACATAACTTCACCCTTATTCAGGTTTTTGTGGAGGACCAATGCAACTTTTGCAATTTCAAAGCATTATAAACGCTTCGATGTTTTTTTAGAGGCTGAGGCAAATAAAGCTGCTGCGAAGTATGATAATGCCTCTATTGACTTTCAGATAGATTTTTACAAGAAGGAGGGATTGACCCCATATACAGAGGCAAAGCTTCCTCTTATAAGTGGTGGGTGAAACTTCCTGTATTTTCTGAGATGACATGTGCCTACTTCAATGTTTTGTTCCTCAAACATTGTGGGAAAATTGCAGATGTTCCTGAAGGATGTGTAATAGTACGAGAGCATGTTCCTATTACCAACCTCTTCACATGTCTTTGGTTCAATGAAGTTGACCGGTTTACTTCAAGAGACCAGATTAGTTTCTCAACTGCCAGGGACAAAATTTTATCAAGGGTAGATTTTCATTTTCACATGTTCCTGGATTGTGAAAGGCGCAATTTTGTAATTCAGGTAACTGTTTTTTCTTATTTGTATATCTGACTAAAAATAAACTTTTGATTCCATAGCTTTTCCGGACTCTGAACATTTCAACAGTTAGGGATGCAATAAAGATACAAAGACACTGGTACCAACACACATTTTTGAAAGTATAAACTAATGTAACAACCATAGCAGTTTCCCTATTTGTAAATCTTTTCCATATTGGTGATCTACCGAGTACTTGTGTAGAATGAGATCTCTTTCTTTCCCCGACACTGCGGTTCTCCATTTGTTTCTCTTGATATTTCCACACTAGGTTATCAACATCCATCTATTTCACTATTTTAGTACTTGACCTTCATTTTTTACAGTTGCTTAGGAAGGATATGACCAATTTCATCGTTATTATGTTGCATGTGTTTTAGTTCACAGTTGCATGGCCAACAAATTATGAAAAGTGTATTGCAACCACCTTGGTTGAGTTTTTTTTGTTTAAAACCTCTTTGATTCAATGGTTCTTGACTTCTTATATCTTTTACCTGGACCGTTACATTTTTATCCAAAGCAATTTTATTGCCCATGCTGTCTCATGGTCACTTTTCTCTCCCATTTACCTTACTATTATTCTAAATTTTTTGTGCTTACAGAAATACCACAGGGATATATTGCTGCACCTCGCTCCACCCCATGCTCACACTCATCCACCCCCTCCATCGCCTCCCCCACCCCCGTTTTCTATGCTTGAAACGTCTTTACCTGAGAAGGTTGTAACTTCACCCATTAGAAAAGGCCCTGGAAGGCGTGGAAGAGATAGGAGATCCGGTTCAAGGCACCACCGTAAAGTTGTTGCTGGAAGTAAAGACATTGAAGCAAGATAAATTTTTTGTTTTGGTGATTATATCCTTTTTTCTTCTTCTTGAATTCTACCTACAAAAATCATTCATTGCAGAGCTGGAGGGAAAATGTGCAGGATAAGTATCGTATTGTTTCCACGGAGACACTCTCATTCTTTTTGGTTTATCCATCTTTATTAATTTATGTACATAAGAGTAAATTTTTTAATAATTATTATATGGGTTGCCACAAAATTCCACATGTGGTAACCCATTGTTATTCCTCTGTCATAGAAAAAGTGTACTTCCTTTTAGCTATACTCATCCTCCATGAAAGTTATGTATATTCATGATCTGTTCTTTCTTATTAATAAAGTAACGAAAAGTGATCAGTGAATACTCTATGACAATGTGTTTTGTTGACCTTGTGTGTATATCTTTTGGTCACTGTGTCATTGAGCCTGGCACTGAAGTAAGGTCCATCTTTTGTTGACCTTGTGTTTGTTATGAGTGCCAATCGGATCGGATAGTCCTTCGGGCAACTAACCACACATAAAATTCTGATCAACGACTTTGAGGTATGGCTGAGTGGCTTAAGGCATTGGTTTGCTAAATCGACATACAAGAAGATTGTATCATGAGTTCGAATCCCATTTCCTTTGGAACAGAAGTGGAGTCACCCAGAGGACAGAGTAGCACTAAGATACTAGGATGGAGGATAGAATAGCACTACTTAGTTACTAGGACGGAGAACACAATAGCACTACTTGGTTACTAGGAGTCGAGAGCCGGTTGGGAATTGTTTTGACCAGCCTGCCTATCTTCTTTTATGTCATGTTTGTCTGAAAGTGTGGTTTTCTGAACTGAAAAAGGAAGATTGGCACTGTGCTTGGCATGACAAAAGGGGTTATATTGTAGGATAATGTTCATGAATGAGTCAATTTTGTCATTCATGAATGTAATATAAGGAAAATATCAGAATGCTAAGTTTGAGAGAAGGAATAGTAATCCTTCTATTCAGCAAGGAGGCTGAAGACTTACTTAGAAAACCAGGAATCTTCTGCTTCTCCTGCACATTTGCATTTTGTTACTCCTTAACCGAACCAAATAACTGCAGTGATGATCCTCCTTGTCGTCGGTCAACACCTTCGGAAATCGAAATGCTGCTGCATCTTCGTCCTTGTCGGAATTCCATCCTTTGCCATGCTTTTTTCACTGCTCTTGCACACCTTTTCTTCTCCATTTTCTCTTATCTTGACAGCAAAAAGACAATTAAATTTGCTTTTCTGCATAAAGCATAGAGCACCCTTATTATAGAACCTCCCTTCCTTTCTATTTGGACTCACTAGCATTACTTTATGTCAGTAAATCTAATAGAGGTAATCTTGAAGGGTTATAAGGGATAAGCATAACTAGTACAATACTAGTTTTTATAATGTTGAATATCAAGGGGTAGCTCATGTTATATGTTAGTAAACTTTAAAGCAAGGCCAAGAAATTTAGTTTTGAGGGAACTAGACCAAATCAATCATATCTAACTGAAGAGATATTTCAAGTATTTTGAAGAATACATGGACACAATACTACAGCAAAAAGTCTAATCAACTTCCAGGGTTGCAAAATAGTGCAACCATGACAATAGATCTTGTAATAATTTTCCATCAACGTTAAGAATTTGGTTGAGATCATTGGCTATAGATCTTGTAATAATTTTCCATCTGAAGGTGATGCCAAGATTAAGGAAGTTGAGTACACAATAGTCTCCTCTTATTTGATTTATAAGGAACAAATTCATATTTTGTTGGCATTCATTCAAAATGTAAGAGTAAGTAATGACAATAGAATTTTGTTACATTTCTTTTGTAGTTGATAACACTTTAACCATAAAAGAAATTGATTGTAACTCTCAAATCTTTATGCTACCATGAGTTTTAGTATTCTTCCGTGGATCAAACGAAAGAAACATATAAATGAATTTAATATTATATTTCGACTCAAAACCTTAAAATATTAGGTGCACGAGTCCATCTACTTATATGTTCTTCAACTTATTTAATTCTAAACAATGTGAGACTTCTTCACACTTAGAATATCTAGCAACTAGTTGGAAGCACATCTGTTGTCCCAAAAAATATAATACTCCATGTATTATTGGATGATCAAAATTATTTAAACATGTGAAGAAATATTTTAATTTGATAATTGTCATGTGAAAGAGAGAAGTGGATGATATATATCTATCTTATATTTACCTCGAGCCTTTCAATACTTAAAAAGGATTTAGCCCAATAAGGATTTGTCGTACAAATTAAACAGTTTGTAAGAAATTCGATTTCCCCTAAAAGCAATTCATTTAATTTCAATAATATGTTTGTCTATGATAAATCCTACACTATTTGATTTCACATACTTCAAAATATCTTTGGAGGAACAAATTTGAAAAAATCTTCTATGGGCACCACCCAAAATCAGGACATGCCCTCGAGTCAGCTAACTAATCAATATGTTTGTCTATGATAAATCCCTGATGTATGAGTTTTATCTATCAGGACATGTTGTCTAATTATTATTTAATTTTTTTTATAAATGAATGATATACCACTCCTATTCTGTGTGAGACAAGTTCAATTTTCTTAATTTTTCTCTCTTCTTCTTGGAAGGTGAAGTAAAATCCTAAATTCCTTAACGCGGAAGAGTAAACAAAAGAAGGTTATAACATTCTTCTAATCTCGAGTTGGTTCGGTTCTTCGTCCTCCGCTTCCATGAAGATGATCGTGACCAATACTCCCTCGCAGGACCTCGCTCTCACCAACTCCGCCTTCTGTTCACCCTCCGATCTCTCTAATTTCGCCGTCCCCGGTTCCAACAAGCTCTACCTCGCTCTTGTTGGCGATTCCTTCGTCTTCTCTCTCTCATATCCTTCAATTTTATCACATTTCCAAATAATTTAATGATTACGATGAATAAGTGAATATCATAGAATTGATTGTTATGCTAATGCTGATTAGTGCAATATTGGATTCGATTATGGTTTGTTTATTCATTTGTGGCCTTAACTTAGATATACTGGTCATGAAACCATACGCAGTGGCCATATTGCGTTGAATTCCATTCAACGTCGTTGTGTTAAAGTTTCTTCTGCTGAATCCATATCTGTCACTAGGTTTGTTTTTTTGTTTTACCCATTTGTGTTTGATATATTACTACTACTACTACTACTACTAGCAGGGACGGATCTAGAAATTTCACTTAGTGTCAATTGATCCTCTTTAGTTTTGGCTGATGGTTGATAAATTTAGTGGATCTTGAAGCTTCTCTTTGATGTTAAGTATATATTTCGAGGACCAAATTGGATGTTTTCTGGAGATGTTAAGATATTTAAATAAAGGTTTTGAACTTTAAAAAATAAGTGAATCATATATACTTTTGTTCAAGTCGAGGACATTCCTTAGTTTGTATGTAAAAATGAGTAAATCACATTAACACCTTTGTTAACTTAATGGCCATATAATTTGTCAAGAATAGTTGGGGCCAATTACCAGTTAGTGCAAGAGCTTGTATATTTAACATGATTGAAAATAGTGTTACATAGTTGTATTTAATCAGAAAGAATTGTTTTCTATTGGGCTGGAGCACAGCAAGTGCTCCTTTGAATCCGCACGAGTATTAGTGTTGGCCTAGTTTAGATTCTTATTGTTTGTTATGCTATTTTAGATTCTTGCCACCTGACAACTTCAACGTGGCATTGTTAACCCTTGAATTGGACTTCGTTAAAAGGGGGAACCGGAGTGAACAGGTAAGTTGATTTTAAAGAAGTTCATTTTGTTGTTAGCAATGTTTTTGCCACTTGGACTATTGGAGTATTTCAGCATTAATATTGTTGATGTTGCTTTTTCTTGTAGATTGATGCTGTTCAACTGGCTAACCAACTTAGAAAGAGATTTACAAATCAGGTAGGGTCTTTCACAATGCTACTTATACCCATTAGTTAGCTAATTCCGGGGGTTTGTCGGTTATCATTTATTGTTTATTAACTATTGGTTACTTTTTGATTAATCAAATGCTTGCCATATGTTTCTGCTTATTAAACTGAAGCACAAGATTTTAATTGTACTAATTGGTCATTTTTATTTTAAAAGCTTTTTGCCTAGATTGTTCACTGTTGGACAAGAAAGGAAAATGCATCTACTTGTTGTGCTTCTTCTTTTGTTATTGTTTTTAAAAAAAAGTGTCTATCACTGCACTTGTCAGAAACAGTTACTACATAGTAATGTGGTTTAATAGATCAATAACTTATAGGTACTCTAAAATGTTTATGCCAAGGCAACTATTGTTATTTGTTTGATTTTGTATGATAGCTTTTCTTTTGTAGTTTGTAAGTAATAAATAATTAAGTAATAAGTAATGCATGAATCTTCGTAGTTATAATATATTTTCTACATCTTCATCAGGAGAAAATAGTATTCTCTTCTGGTAGTTTTTCTACCAGGGGAAGGGTGCCTTTCATTGCATCTTTACTTGAAGCATGAGTTGCTTATAGTTGCATGAAGCATAAACACATTATTCTGCAATGTTCATCAAATTACTCATGATCTTGTTGTTTTGATGCCTCATGCATGTTATTATGTTTCTAACCTTCCTCTCGTATCTCAAATTTTTTGTGACTTCTTAAATTACTTTCTAATTCCTTGGAAGCTTGGGAACATTCTGCATTCTGGTCCCCTCTGTTACGTCATATTATGTACGTTCTTTTTGTTTGATGTACTATATCCAAGTTTAATTTGGATCCTATTTTATGCAGGTTATGACAGCAGGGCAGAAAGTGTTATTTGAGTATCACGGAAATAATTATTACTTTACAGTCAGTCAAGCTGCTGTTGAGGGCCAAGAAAAGTCTAAGTCTCTAGAAAGAGGGATGGTTTCAGATGACACATACATTGTTTTTGAAACAGCGCGTGATAGTGGAATTAAGGTGATTTCCTATTTGCTTTTGACACAGACTGTTTTGCTGTGTTCTTTTCCTGTACATTCTAAATACTTTGATATGTTTGATCAATATTATACGTGCTCCAGGTGAGATAATAGTCATTACTTTGCTAAGTAGAATAACCAATTGTTATGATAACTTCTTAACCTGTACTCTATTAACTACACATTATTGCATTTTTGTTGGTTCATGTTGTGATTTGCAGATTGTCAATCAGCGAGAGGCTGCCACTAGCAACATTTTTAAGCAGAAAGAATTTAATCTTGAGTCTCTGGGCATTGGAGGTCTGAGTGCCGAGTTTGCAGACATATTTCGTAGAGCTTTTGCATCTCGTGTTTTTCCTCCGCATGTTACATCTAAGTAATAAATCAGATACTGTGGCCCATTTAATCCACTGTTTTTATGTTGCATCATGTTCTTACTTGAAATCTTTGATATTTCAGATTAGGGATCAAGCATGTGAAGGGCATGCTGCTTTATGGGCCTCCTGGAACTGGAAAGACCCTTATGGCACGTCAAATTGGAAAAATTTTGAACGGGAAGGAACCAAAGGTTTAGAAACTACTGCTTATGCTTGTCTGATAAATTTGAATACCTAGTTATATATTACATCTACTTGAAAGTTTCATATATGGAATTATTATGACTCTGTAATGCTGAGAAACTGAAATAGGCT